ATAAGAATCACTGCTCTAAGGACATACACACAGAAACAAAATGAAGAGACAAATTAAAAACTAAAAGTAATCTGGGTTACCATTAATTTACACAAATTGTAAATATTGATTGTGCTAAAATATTTTACAAAAGTGCCATCCTAAACAGCACAAGCAACATTTACCAAAAATGAAAGGCAGCTCATGGACTTTTACATGTAAATATTACATTTACAAAATAAATATAATCCAATTGCACGTAATCCAATTAAAGTATCCTAATATTATAAAAGCCTTAGCCTGTCTGTTCGTAACACTTTATTCACACTTTGATTGGTTGCCTCAGAGTGCTCTGGACAGATGGACACATGGTGGAGCACCACAATGACAGAGGGCAAGGAGGGGAGGCAGCAGGGAAGAGGGGAGGAAGGAAGGGAGGGGAGTGGGAAGGGAAGATGGTGGAGGGTGGCTGCAGCCCCGGCCTGATGTGTGCAGACCTCTGTCCCCCCACCCCTTCATTCTTGATGGGCAGTTTGCTAGTTTACAGTATAAGAGATGAGGTTACATAATGACTTTCTGAATTACATCTATTAAAAAGATGCAGGCAGGGTAGGTTGGCATCTTAGAGTAACTGGTTCAGACAGGCATATGGTTTCATAGCCTATGTTGAAGGATTACACAGATGGAAAAAAATAAGCAAGATTTTAAATTGAGGCATCAGAACTGTAACCAGCTTGCATGCTAACTATACAAAGGAACCGTAAAGCACATGACAGTCCTGTGTCTCTTGAGACTCAGGTGAGATTAGAACAATTCTTCAAAGGCAACAAGACCTAATATGAATAGAGTATTTACAAGAAACCACAGCACATTAAGAGTATCTAACACATCATTATGATTTAGCTACCTGTTGATGAACAGTATGACTATCCTTATGTAAATTTATATTTTATTTACCCTTAAGAACCTTTTTTTCTTTTTTTTAAGTTACAGAGAAAAATATCTTAATGACTTTCTTTATAAATGAAAGGTTTTTCCCCCCATGACCAGAATCCAATCAATGTATATTATTCTACATCTATCAATTATTTCATTCTTTTAGTCAGTAATTTCTTTTAATAATTATCTGGGCATTTGCACAAAATATCTGTTGCTGTGAAGCCTCTCTGTCCTGCAACAGTTATTGATAAAAGCAAAAAAACCACTTGGGGTTTTAATAAAGTAGAGCATCAACTGCTACCAAGTGGCAGCATTTCTCTAGTCAGCAATATTTCATATTTCATTTTTCATTTATGAAAGCTGTACTGTACATGCTGGGTATTAGGGCTGTGCAAAATTTTGCCGGCTGTTTCGTTTTGACACTGTTTTGACTCATTTCAAGGTCATAACAGCAAAATCAAAATTAAACAAAGGACTTCAAAACAGTCTTGAAACAAAACGAAGCTGGTCAAAACGTTTTGAAAGTTGAAACGTTTCGACCAGAGCCCTGGGGATAGGAAGTCAGTCCAGCTGGGCTGAGTTCCCATCCCCAGCTAGATTGGGCTGGGGAAAGGAAATCAGCTCTGCTGGGCTGACTTCCAATCGCCGGCGCAAGATCCAGCGAAATGTTAAAACAGAGTCAAAACAGCCTTACTGTTTAGAAGAAGCAAAACTGAACAGCAGTTTCGAATTGAAATGAAATTCGATATGAAACACTGTTCTGTCAAAACCTCAAAACTCAAGGCGAAATGGAACGGTGCCGTTTTGCACAGCCCTACTGGGTATATTCTGTTCTTATGCCTGCTATAGTACTTTAATAGTAACTTTATTTTCTCTATATTCATTACCCTCAGCCAGAAAAAGTTTATTTTTAGCATCAGCTCTTATCAGTTCTAGAAAATGTCTTTAGGATAATTGGCATTTGGTTTGCATGGCCTGGTACTAAAATCTATCCTGCTTATGATCCCAATTCATAGACATTTGGGTGGAAGGGACCCCGGAGGAACATCGAGTCCAGCCTCCTGCCCCAGGGGCAGGAAGTCATCAGGGATCATAGGATCCCAGCAAGATAAACATCGAAATATGTTGTGAAGGCGTTAAAGTGGGTGCTTGAACCACCTCTGGCGGCAGTCTATTCCAAACCTTGGGGGCTTGGACAGTAAAGAAGTTCTTCCTTGTGTCCAGCCTGAACTGGTCACAGCAGAGTTTGTGACCATTCGATCTCATCATCCCTTGGGGCACTCTGGTGAACAGACATTCCCCCAGATCCTGGTGAACAGCCATGATAAACTTATAGATGGCCACCAGATCACCCCTGAGCCTGTGCTTTTTCAGGCTGAAGAGCCCCATGGCTCTCAGCCTGTCATCGTAAAGTCTGTTTTCCTGACCTCTGATCATGCGCGTGGCTTTCCTCTGCACTCTCTCAAGCTTCTCCACATCCTTTTTGAATTGTGGAGCCCAAAACTGGACACAGTACTCCAGCTGCGGCCTCACCAAGGACGAGTACAACGGGAGAATGACGTCCCAGGATTTACTTGAAAAGCATCTATGGATGCAAGCCAGCATTTTGCTTGCCTTACTAGCTGAAGCATCACATTGCAGGCTCATGTTCATCTTGTGGTCAATCATGACCCCCAAGTTCCTTTCATCTGTAGTGCTAACCAGCGTAGCACTGCCGAGCCTATACGCATGCTGCAGGTTTTTCCTCCCAAGGTGGAGAACACCTTGCATTTTTCAGTGTTAAACACCATCAGGTTCTCATCCACCCATTTCATGAGTCTGTCAAGATCTGCCTGGATCACCCTCCTGTCCTCAGGTGTGGATGCTTTACCACAGAGTTTGGTGTCATCAGCAAACTTGGCCAGCCCACTTCTGACACCAATGTCTACATCATTGATGATAATATTAAAAAGTATATAGGCCCTAGGACAGAGCCTTGAGGGACCCCACTGGTCACCGTGCACCATGACGATTGACTTCTGTCAACCACTACCCTCTGGGTCCTACTGCAGAGCCAATTCCCCAGCCAGCGGATCATGGTGAGGTTGAAGCCACAGTTAGCCAGTTTTGTCAAGAGGTGATCATGGGATACCAGATCAAAGGTTTTTTGAAGTCGAGATATATAACATCAATCTCTTCCCCCTTGTCTAGGTGATAGGTCACTTGGTTGTAAAAGGAAATAAGATTGGTCAAGCTAGACCTACCCACAACAAACCCGTGCTGGGTATCCCTCAGGATCTTGCCATCAGCTAGTCTGTTAAGGATGGCTTCTTTGATAATCTTTTTCAAGACCTTCCCCAGGACAGAGGTCAGGCTGATGGGCCTGTAGTTTGCTGGATCTACTTTCCTCCCTTTCTTGAAGATAGGCACCACATTGACCTTCTTCCAATCTTTGGGCACTTCACCAGAGCGCCAGGATTTCTCAAAGATCCGTGCCAGGGGCTGAACTATGATGCTTGCCTGGTCCTTGAGTACCCTTGGGTGTAAACCATCAGGGCCAGCTGACTTGAAGGTATCCAGCCTCTCATGGTGTTCCTTCATGAGGTCACCTTTGATGGAGGGTAAGGAATCTCCCTCACCTGGGCCTCGCTGATCCACAGTGGGCAGGGGCGTCCCATGGGACTGGTGAAAAACTGACGCAAAGTACCCATTTAGCAAGTTTGCTTTTTGGGTCTTGATGCAAGTAAATTTAGAGTGATTTGGAGAATTAAACAAGCAGACAACACTGCTGTTATAGTTTCCCCCAAAATGGACTCCAAAGTAACACAAAAATGAAATATTTCCCTTGATACAATTAAAGCACTCCTGACATTTAACTTAAGGAAAATACACTGATACTTTCTGCAGGAAAAGCTTTGTGCTATAAAACTTGGTAGCTAGCAGCAAATGGAGTGCAGTACTTTGAACACTGGCTTAAGTAAATCATAAATGAATTACAGTAGAAGTACTCTATAACTACACAAGGGATAGCTAATGAATATTTTAAAACAGTGTGGCAAATTGGGAAAAGAAAAGTATGCATGTCACTTGATATAATTCTAATTTATGCTACAGTATTTCTTTTGACCTGAGCATTTCAAGAAAATTCAGCTTCTTGCAAGTCATTTCAGTTAGGAAAGACTGAGGGAGTCGGTTGTTTATTGGTGGAAACCTGTTTATTTCTAAGTCCTGTCCCCAAAACATAGCGAGATCTAATAAGACAACATCCGGATCCACAATTCCAACCTCCCTATAGCAGCTAGCATTTAGACCCAAATCACTACATTTTTTGTACTTATTCTGGCAGTGTTGTGTGCTGCCTGCACCCCTTTCTATATCTTCCCCTTTGGCTGCACAATTTTACTTCTGCTCAAACCTTGCCACATGCAAGGTGTTTTGGATCATACTCCTATTGTTTCAGTTAACTGGTTACATGACTGTCATGCCCACCAAGAAAGTATAAACTTACCAAGAGCACTAGAACTCTGAGATTTTGATGATGTACTCTTTGCCTCCATTCTCGCCCCGCCCCCAGCAAATAATTTCTATAATGTACACGTTACTAGAGAAAAGCTTTTTATTATATACATTCATTATTTACATTATTTTATCTCTGCAGAAAGAGTTCCCTTTTACTTAACATATCAGCATGGAGCTAATATTTTCATTACTGATTGGTCTTTCATGTTCAACTGAAAGCTCTTAGAGAACTATTCTTAGCCATTTCATCCCATTTAACTGTAGTGTCTGCAAAATGATATTAAATTAAAAATGCCATCTCTTTGCATAAGTACAGTTACTTTAGCTAAAAAATTTACCAGCGATTACAGCATGAGACCTAAAATCAGATGGCTCAATTCTGTTCAACATATCGAGGCCCAGATCCTGCAAACACTTGCATATTAAAGATTTTAAAAGCTAAGCAGAAGATGAATTGGCAGGAAAAATAAAATGAAATGTACATCAAAGACGTCACCTTTTACCTGGAATTCTAGTTTATTATATAGCAGCTATTCAACAGAAATTCCAGAGTATGCAGGCAAAACATTTCCTGAGAGACTTACCCTGTGTTTGTGCTTCATCCAGGAACAACTTTAGCTTCCTGCTCCTGAGCCCAAACACTTTTGCTGTTTCATACAGAAGACCTTGATAGGTCAGGCCGTTCTGACCAACTGGATTTTCCATGAGAAGAGTTCCAACTATTCCTTTTAGACACTCTACGGAAATAAATTATTACCGTTTGAGGTTTTAAAAAAAGTTCCACATCATATTTGCATTTATCTTGACACGTTTACATTTATTTCCTTCCAACTTATCAGTTTCTTCCACAGCATTCACTTATCTACATCCAGAGCAAAAATACTGCACATAACTACCTATCACAGATGACTGGAGAGCTGTCATTTTGGGCTCTATATCCATTCACTTTAGATTCTAGTAACAGATTAGCAAATGAAGGATGTTAACTAGTGATTTTCTTCTCTAGGAACTGGATGCTGCAGTATCTGCAGATAGATTATGGAAACTGAAAAATATTTCAGCAAGAAACAAGCAGAAGTACAGATAACTGCTCCAGAAAAGGACCCATCACTTTATTGGGTGGGTGCATGCTATTTTATGCGAAGACTGTCCCAAGTAGATTCCTTGCATCCTGACCAGCACTCTCTGCTAGCATCTAGGTCCATATAAGACAGTTCCTTGTACAGAATTTGGAACTAAGACAGTGAACTACTAAAAGCTTATTTTTCAATGAAGAGTAGAGAGCATATAAAAGACATTAATGTGCATTATACCAAGTTATACACATGTAGTTACAGTCTAGTCACCAGGTTGATAAAGTAATTAACATTCCTTTTAATCAGCAGTGCTTGCAATTTCTCATAAGCTCTGACAATTGATTTTTGAATGGAGCTGACCTTTTCTACTCAGTTTTAGACTTGCAGCCTTTTAGAACAAATTTTGCACTTTTTAACTGATAGTCAGACATAGGAGAACAATTTCAAATGACTTGTGTTTACATGCCAATAAGATCACCACCCCTTATCTCAACTAGTCTCTACTTTCCTTTTTACAAAAAACAGGACACAGGCAGCTTTAAAAAAAACAGTGAAAGAAATAGTCAGCTTCTGCATTGTATGTTAAAAAGCATTTATCTATTTCATAGGCAGAACAAAAATAACAGAATAAGCAGAACAAAAAATCACCCCTTACTAATTCAAATATTTATAGAGCTAAGCAAACAGTACTATCCAAAACTTAAATCACAACAGATTAACCAGTAACTGAAAAGCAATTATCAGTTTACTACATACAGTACCTTGTGGTTTCATATTCACTAACTGCAAGTTGATATACTGGCAGACAAGAGCATCAGGGGGGTTGATCAAAGCAGGAGCTGACCCTGATGTCACATAAAGAGTCTTTCCACTGAGACTCAGCAAGTCAGTTTTGTTCATCAGTTCTGAAAAGAAAAATGAAACCAGTGAGGCCATTACAAAGAAGCTAACATCTAGCTCAACTGATTAAATGACAATAAGCATCTTTCTGGATGCTGTTTCCATTATAGGAATGCTTTCCTTTTTAGCATTACTTTCTCAATGGATATGTATTCCATCATTTTGGAAAGCAGAAGTGATTTTTGCAATTAGTAACAGAGATACCTTTGAAGTTCCCAATGCCAATTATTACAAAAACAAACAGCTAATAAAATGACTTCATCATGGACAATATTCTTGATACTCAAACTGGTTGAATGATTCTGCAAGAATCCTGGAAGTCTCCAGTTAGATGTATTTAGTTCACTATGTAGTGTAATAAGTAGTCAAACAGAACCAATTTCTTACGGACTTTATAAATTTAACCCTAACCTCCTGAACTACACTCTGAAACAAGTAGCTAATGAAATTTGCTCCTTAAGGATAGCATTTCCTTAATCTATACTTTAGACCTATGTTAGAACTGAGTTTGCAAACTTTGCATTTAATGTCGAACTGCAAAAATGTAGAAGAATCTTATGGTATCTAAATATTAAAATAAATGTTTATAAAAAACAGACATAAGTAAGCACTATAAAAGGACAGTATATATCCAGAATTGTTCTAACAAAGAGTCCTAACAGATTACCCTTTTCAATTCTGCAAGGTCTATTTACTAGGGCTGTGCAAAGCTTCAAGTGGTGATTCGATCCGGAGGAGAGTCAGCCCGATTTGGTGGCTGAATCTCTGAATCCGAATAGAAGCAGGGGACCAATTTAAAGGTCTGAATTGATTCAAAGCTCTCTGAATCTTTGGGAAAGATTCGGAGAGCTTTGATGATTTGGGCAGTCCTTGGTGGCTGCAGCAGGGAGCTGCAGCTGACTCCAAGCTGGTAAGTACTAGGAGCAGGAAA